GTTTGATAAGTTCTTTGTAGATTTTGGATACTGACCCTTTATCCGATATGTCGTTTGCAAATGTCTTCTCCCATTCCGTCAGCTGCTTTTTAGTTTTGCTGATTGTTCCCTTTGCTGTGCAGAAGCTTTTTATTTTGATGAGGTCCCAGTAGTTCATTTTTGCTTTGGTTTCCCTTGCCTGCGGAGACGTGTTGAGTAAGAAGTTGCTGCGGCCAAGATCAGAGAGGTTTTTGCCTGCTTTCTCCTCGAGGATTTTGATGGCTTCCTTTCTTACGTTGAGGTCTTTCATCATTTTGAGTTTATTTTTCTGTATGATGTAAGAAAGTGGTCCAGGTTCATTTTCCTGCATGTCGCTGTCCAGTTTTCCCAGCACCGTTTGCTGAAGAGACTGTCTTTATTCCATTGGATATTCTTTCCTGCTTTGTCAAAGATTCGTTGGCCATACGTTTGTGGGTCCATTTCTGGGTTCTCTATTCTGTTCCATCGATCTGAGTGTCTGTTCTTGTGCCGGTCCCATACTGTCTTGGTGGTTACAGCTTTGTGATACAGCTTGAAGTCCAGGATTGTGACACCAAGATTGCTTTGGCTACTCGGGGTCTTTTCTGGTTCCAGTGTGCAAGGCTTCCTAAGGCCCAGGTCAGAATTCACAAGTCACTTCTTCCATGTTCTTTGGCCAGGGCGTTCACTAGACCAGCTGGATTCGAGGAATGAAGGAACAGATTCTGGCTCTCGACAGGGGGAGCTGCACAGAACTGTGGCCATTTCTGCAACCTGCCACAGGTCTCAGCACTCTTGACCCTCCTTTCATTCTGAATCCGATAAGCTTTTTAACTCTTGGCCTGATTTTCAGTTGTTTTTACCCCCTACAAAGTACTGTTTCCACCTAATTCATTGCTTCCCAGTCACAAGTCCTGTGAGCTTGGAAACAAGATAATCTTTCCATATATATATATATATATATATATATAAATTTAGCAACAAAACGAGACACCCGGCTGGCTTATGAGTCCATAGAGCACATGCAACTCTTGGTCTTGGGGTCATGAGTTCAAGCCCCATGTTGGCCCTAGAGCTTACTTTATTTTATTTTTACTTTTTTTTTTTTTTTTTTTTTTTTACTGTTTATTTATTTTTGAGAGAGAGGGATACAGAATCCAAAGCAGGCTCCAGGCACTGAACTGTCAGCACAGAGCCCGATGTGGGGTTCGAACGCATGAACCGTGAGATCATGACCTGAGCCAGAGTCGGACGCTTAACCGACTGAGCCACCCAGGCGCCCCAGGCATAGAGCTTACTTTAAAATATAAATAAATAAAATTTAAAAATGTCTTAAAATGTAGTGACAAACTTGTGAGAATTACATGTACACAGCAGTAAATACGCTCTGACTTGAAGGGGGTCTCCTGCAGTTTGCCGTGCGTGGGATGGCTGCCGGGAGGCAGTTTTTGCACACCGGTTCTTATTTCTGGTCCAGGTATGTGACAGAGCACGGTGCCCACTGTCGGGTAAGGTCCTAAAAAGGTCAAGCGATGGTAGAACTTCAGGGGCTGAGAAGGAAAGGAATTCATGTCTGGGGCTGGATAAAAGGAGGAAGTGATTCATCTTTTATGCTAATTTATATTTCCATGGCTTTAGTTCTAGTTGGATCTGTCATAAAATACAGAGACCGTAGAGGTATTTATTACCCCAAGACCGCGGAGGAAGTGAGGGGGTGTGATTTGCATCAGCTCTGACCCCTTTGGCTCTGAAGGAAACGGAGCATTAATTTTCCCTCGTGAAGTGCGGTGCAAGGTCTCTTTCCTATCTTATCTAAGCAAGCCCCTCACTCTTTTACCGTTTTTTTAAAAATTCTTTCTTTTCTACCGTGTTGGCATCACAACCGCTCGTTAATTGTGTGTCATGACAGCCCTCTAAGCTTGAGAAACTTCTCTCAGAGTCGGACAAAGTCCGTGTCCAACCAGAGCTTGCTGATTTCAAAGGAACTCTCAAGCAAGTTCGAAAAATGTGAAACTGTGACTTAAAACAGCATTGACATTTTGCTTGAAGTTCTTAGGAGAGGATGGTGTCTGTCTAGAGGATTTAAAACAGACACACATCTGTCTGATTAACAGAGAAGCAGGTCACACATTTCCGGAAACCTAACATTTATGGGAACGATGATCACCTTGGTGACAATAGCAGAGGGGGCAGCCCACCAGAGGTCAAGCCATGGTCAGAGAAAGACTTTGTCATGGAACTCTTTTAGCTGGGACAGCCCCAGAAAGCCCCAGAAGCCACTGGGGTTCGCTCTGCAAATGCTGGGCCCTGATGGGGCTCGCCGTATTAAGAATGAGTCTACTTTTGGGGCACCTGGTGGCTCAGTCGCTTAGGCAACCATCTTTGGCTCAGGTCACGAGCTCACGGTTCATGAGTTTGAGCCGCGCGTCGGGCTCTGTGCTGACAGCTCAGCACAGATTCTGTGTCTCCCTCTGTCTCTGCCCCTCCCCTGCTCACACTCTGTCTCTGTTTAAAATAAACAAACATTTAAAAAAAAAAAAGAATGAGCCTACTTTTACCATCACATTTACCAACATGTGCGTACTCTCCCCCCGCCCCTAATAATTTCAGCATAACTTTTTAAAGAAAAACAGTAATCAGAGTGCGTGTAGTTTTTCATAGAATTTTTAAAAATTTGATGCTTTTAGAGTAATTTTTGAGTAACAAATCACAGTGCTGATCGAGGAGAAACAAATGCAAATATTTTCTCTCTCTTCCGGTGACCAAGTGTCTCTAAAACTCTTGAGCTGGGAGCAGAGGGTCATGGAATATCCTTTCAGTAGGACTCCGTGTCACCTCGTTGTTGAATCTGGTGTCAGGCAGAATTATCAGCCAGTCTCCCCTAATGAGTGCTGCTAGGTATATACTGAGTATCACCGCTGAGTGCTGACAGTCTCGCTTCGAACAAGACGAACGAAGTTTCTTCCTTTCGTAGAATGTATGCTGGAAATAGCTGATAAGCCGATAATCAGACAAATGGTACCCATGTCAAATAATGACAATGACTAGAATAAAAAGAAGAGACCGAGGGGGCAGTAGGTGACCTGGACTGGAAGGCCCGGTATCATGGGTGGCCATGGCTCTTCTCCCTGAGGGGGTGACGATGGGGTTGAGATCTCTGTGGTCCGAAAGTTGGGGGCCTGGGGGAACAGCTATCAGGCAGCCGGAACAGTGGCCGCACTGGGGATACCGGCTTGGCGTGTCCGAGTGATGGCGAAGAGTCCCGTGCGGGTGTGAGTGGCACAGACAGGGCAGGGAGGAAGCAGGCAGGAGGCCGTCTGGGGGCCATGGGTCAAGGTCAGAGGCAAGAACACGCAAAAAGCGTCTGACTTCTGGCTTTCGCTCTGCTATGGTGCAGAGCAAGGGTTCTAGAGTTCATAAAGGGAGTCGGGGGCCCTGTGAGGAGCCTACAGGAATCTGAGACCGCATGGGTTGTGACTTTGTCTAGAAGACGGCTAGCCACACATGGCCGTGACGTTTACGTTTAAATTAACGAAAAATAATGAAAACTCGGTCCCTCCTTCACATTACCCCATTTTAAGCGCTCAACAGCCGTGGCTGAGTGCACGTAGCTGCTGGGTTGGGCAGCACAGAACACTGTAACGTTGCAGAAAGTTCTGTTGAACGGCGGTCCTTCCGAGCTGTGGGACTATGGCCCATTCTTTGCAAATTGTCTGTTCTTTCCAAGGTCCTGATTCCTCTCCAGGAAGGGCAACCAAACCACCTTAAACTTCATTTAATGCCTATTCTTTTAGGAGCTAAGAGTGGAGGGAAATTTTGTATTGGAGAAATTCATAGCTTTTGAGAATTAACCAAGGCCACGAAAGGTGTAAAGGAAAGTCAGATGGAAGATGCAGGGCACCGTCCCCAGAAAGCGGAGGGTCATCTGGGTGAGGCAGGAGGCAGAGTTCATAGGGGAGCGGAAGGCCCCACAACAGGCCACAGGTAGTCATTTGGGGGAGGAAAGAAAAGCCGGACCAGATTGTGCTGTGTCCAGAATTAAGGAAGCAGCAAAGTCATGTCCACTTGGATGAGCACCTGGGAGCGACAGTTTGGGATTGTGTCTGTGTGTCACAGTGTAGACTGTGGGGCCACTGTTTCCTAGGAGGAGCGGGACCTCACCCCCGCGTGGGATGAGCCGGGAAAGCGGAAGTCGGGGGAGGGGCCGGGGGGTCACGGGCAGACACACTGAGCAGACCTGCCCCCTGGTCAGGCCGGCGCCTCCAGGCTCTCGGGAGCAAGTCTTGCTGCCCGAGTGGTGCTGTGGGGAGCTTCCAAGCAGGTCTTAGGGACTGTTGCCCAGTGAGGCCACTGCACTGTTGGTCTGTGGGGCAGCACTTGGGAAGACGAGCTGGGCACGGGACAGGCTCACCCGCAGGCGCCCCTGGTTCCGTCAGTCCGGTGTCTCTGTGACATCGCACCCCGGGAGCAGCCCCTTCCACGTGCCCAGCCTCAGCTTTAGCCCAGAACGCGCTGGCAAAGGGCATCCGGGGAAACCGTTCCCGGCTTTCAGGCAGACACGCCCATCCGGCACCAGAGACGTGAGGGGCGGTCCCTTGGAGTCTCAGGAAAGGAAACCGTGGGTGGGAGAATGGACCGGACCTGCAGTCGTCCACCTCGTCACTCAGCCGGGAGCTGGCGTGGCCTCTGCCCGGACACATTGTGGCGCCCGTGTGCTCTCGCCGCCCTCCCACCGCTCTGCCCTTGAACCCGTCTCCTCCTCGGCCTCGAAAGTAAAGTGCTGCTCTTCTCTACTACTGCAAAAACAAGGCACCGGCAGATCTTACCCTGATAAAAACCCGATAAAGCTGTCGTTGCGTATGCCTGGTAGGAAGGATCGAGATAGCGCGTCCTGCGGTGAAAACAAGAGTAAAATATTCTGAGAACTGTAAAACTGTCATCCTTTCTCTAAATGACTTAACCCAACAGACAGGTGGTTTTCAATCACTGGCTTCCCTTTGCAGGCATGTGAAAGCCAAGATCTTTTTACGGTAGCGGGAGGAGCGCCGTCCCTCCCTGGGCTCGGCCCCGGCGCCAGCCGCCGTGCTGACCGCCAGACAGCGCCTGCTGCCTCCCGCTGTCCCCGGTCACCAGTGTGAGCGGCACCTGCCCGAGCTCGGGCAGCCAGGAAGGAGCAGGACTGAGATTTGAACCCGGGTAGGAAATTCAGACAGAGTGAGGATAAAGGGGGCACCTGGAGGCTGAAAATTCCCCAAAGTGGGCAACGGAGTAATTTGAGGTGAGCAGCCACAGCATGTGGGGGGTCGGGGCTCGGCAGGTGACGCCACGGCCGCACCTCCTCCAAGGTGGCTCCTTCATCTCCCATACATTCATTCTCCCTCTCTGTCCCTCTCTTGCTCTCCCCTTTTTCCCTCTCTCTCTTCCTCTGTGATAGAATGTTCCGTTTATTCGGCCAACTGTTAAGTCCTACTCTATGAGCAAACCCTAGCCCATGCGGGGGGTCTCTGTAGACACACCCAAACGCCCCTCTCCTTTTTTTTTTTTTTTAATAATTTTTTTAAGTTGATTTATTTGAGTGCGAACAGGGGAGGGGCACAGAGAGAAAGAATCCCCAGCAGGTTCTGCAGGGTCAACACAGAGCCTGATATGGGGCTCGAACTCATGAAACCGTGAGATCAATGACCCGAGCCAAAATCAAGAGTCGGACGCTTATTACAAAACTGTAACCATCTAGACAGTATGTGACTGGCACAAGAACAGACAATCAGACCAATGGAACAGGATAGAGAACCTAGAAATGGACCCGCAAAGGTATGGCCAACGAATCTTTGACAAAGCAGGAAAGAATATCCAATGGAATAAAGACAGTCTCTTCAGCAAACGGTGCTGGGAAAACTGGACAGCGACATGCAGGAAAATGAACCTGGACCACTTTCTTATACCACTTTTCTTATATTTCTGTCTCTGCAGGGTCAGGTGTGGATTAATGGCTTTAACCTTGGTCGATATTGGCCAGGGCGGGGCCCCCAGGTGACTTTGTTTGTGCCACGGCACATCCTGATAACATCAGCCCCAAACACCATCATGGTGCTGGAACTGGAGCACGCGCCCTGTGATGACAGTGGCCCGGAACTGTGCACCGTGGAGTTTGTGGACAGGCCGCTCATCAGTGCTACTCCGACCTCCAGTCATCCCCTGCCAGACCTGTCTGATCGAGACTCGGGATTGGACCGTGTCTGATGGCTAAACACTGTGACCCTTTGGAGTTTCAGCCTTGCACATAACTCACGTATCCCTCGCGTAATGCCAACATTCCCTGGAAAGTCCTATTGGAAAATAGATTTAGCACGGGTGTTTTCTCCTGGGGTTGTCCGGGCAGCCTCGCGGTGGCTGGCAGGGGCCACAGGGGACGCGTGATGAGGGTGGCCACACGGTCACGCACAGTGAGGCCGCACAGTCGAAATGGAAGCTTCAAAGGTGTTCCTGATTTTTATTTTGAAAGAATCATGTTGTCTTTTTGTTAAATAAAATTTTCTTCAAATGACGTTAACTGTTTTTAATGTTGAGCAGGTATTAAATTTTAGGTTCTGATTTAAATCATAACTAGACTTGAGTGGGTCGAATAAGCCACTTCACTAACTTGCGGTTCAAAGGAATGGAAAATAGTCTTGGTTTGATCCACTGGACTGCTGCTTCTCTGATCCTCACTTGACTTCCTTTTGTGTTTCTGTGATGTCAACGAGGTAGCCCATCAATGCAGCTCAAAACCATTGTGCGAACGACCTGAAGCCTCAGCAGCGGGAGAGGGTACATAGTAGGGCACCCCTGCGCAGTAGGATATCGCATAGCCACGAAAATGGGACGTAGGACCGTACATGAAAACGCTCTCGTGGTTTGGTGGGCGAAGAAAGCAGATTACCTTAAGTTTGGTCCCATTCTGTGTGTTTAGACAAAACAACTGCACATACGCACACGACACAGGCCTGACCACACGTCACAGACACACATACGCATGAGCGTGCGTGCTGTGCACGTACACAGATCACGGCCTTCCAGGACAGGCGTGTCCTGCCGTGGGGCAGTAGCTCTCATGGGTTGAGCCCTTGACCTATTCCATGTCTGGTTCTGCGCATACTTAATGCGCTCGCCCCTCACAAGGACCAAGGAATGTGCCATCGCCTTCCCCGGTTTGCCCAGCCACACAGCTGTAAACGGTGGTAGAGACAGGGTCTGAAGCCGCGTAGCCTGGTGCCAGCTTCTAGGCACCCTCTGCACACGTCCCACACCAACGCATGCTCATGTTCCCCCGGGAAAGAATCGGAACAACATAAACCAAAATGTTCATCGATCATGCCGGGGTGGTAAGCGTTTGAGAAAGAGTTCGCTTTTTCCTTTTGCCCACCTGAGTTTTAAGTCCTTTACAGAAAAGATGCGCCATCTGTCAAGGGAGGAAGAAAGGAAAGACTTCTGATGCTCATCTGCAATACATCTCCATGATCGTGTCCTTTACCCTTCTCATGGACACCAGTGAGGAATGTGGAATTCACCAGGGAGAATCACGGCTCTGGCTGAGTCAGCTGGCAGAAGGCGTCTCTAGGTTGAGACTAACAGAACCTAGAACTTTCTTTAGGATTGTTTTCTGCGGCATCTTTGTGTACATGTCCTGCATTTGATGGTTGAGGGACACCATGGGGCGAAGGAGGTGCTGCGTAGACTTAGGTCATCATTTCTTTATCTTTCACTGCTAGTTACCGACAACTTAGAAAATGAGACTCCAGAACTGTGCCCACTTACGAGCTTCGGGAAGAAATGTGAGACGGTTCCTTGTGAAGCATTATGGATGTTGGTAAGTCGCACCTCCGCTGTTGCAGGTACTACCTGTCGAGGCTCCAGAAGGCTCAGGCGGTGGAGTGGGATCTCCTCGCGGGAGTGTGTGCTTCCATTCTGTTCGCCCCGTCTTCTGAACCACGCTCAGGTAGGCAGCAGTAAGCCCGCCTGACACATGAAAACGTTGGAGGCTTAAGCAGGAGGCGGAGTCAGATTCCCATCTCGTCTGTCTCTGTCCAAAGCCAGTGTTCTTTCTGTCTTGTCAGTGTGAGAGAATCTCTCCCACAGCACTGTGACATCCCTTGTCCAGGATGTCATGTTCCGGAAAACCAGAATTCGATACATAAATTGTACCACCCGTGACTCTGCACGTCCCATCCAGCTCTCCACACTACCTTGGGGAGGTATTCATTTCACCTTCTGTGATGCCATTTTTTTTTAATGTTCATTTATTTTTGAGAAAGAGGGAGACAGAGCATGAGTGGGGGAGGGGCACAGAGAGAGGGAGACACAGAATCCGAAGCAGGTTCCAGGCTCTGAGCTGTCAGCACAGAGCCCGACGTGGGGCTCGAACTCACAGACCGTGAGATCATGACCTGAATTGAAGTCCGACGCTCAACCAACTGAGCCACCCAGATGCCCCTATGATGCCATTTTTAAAATACGTACCTCCTGGCACTCCTGATTTTTTAACTCTGTGTGGCTGCTGCCTCTGAAAATAATAAGAGCAGTGCCTTTATTACCTGCCATGTAAAGCTTTTACATTAAATTTCTCTTTAAGCTGATTTTAATATTCTGGGACTTTCTGAGCAGGCCTGTGCTAACCCAACCCTAACACCAATGGTCTTGGAATATTTCCATATTCTCAATCCTTGTGATGAACACTGTGGCCTTTTCCTTTGTACCCTTGGTTTAGATGTACCCCAGGTTTGTACACCGTACAGAACATCTTGTTTTAAATTTTTTTTAATGTTTCTTTATTTTTGAGAGAGAGAGAGAGAGAGAGAGAGAGAGAGCGAGAGCGCGCACAGGCAGGGGAGGGGCAGAGAGAGAGGGAGACACAGAATCCGAAGCAGGTTCCAGGCTCCGAGCCGTCGGCACAGAGCCCGACGCGGGACTTGAACCCCCGAACCGTGAGATCATGACCTGAGCAGAAGTCGAATGCTTAACCGACTGAGCCACCCAGGCGTTCCAGTGGTCGAGCATTTGAAATGTTTCTGGTTTGGGGCTGTCAGGAATACTGATGTTGTAAACATCCGTGTACGATTCTTTGCATGGTCATAGCTTTCCACTTCCCCCGAGTAGAATTGTTTAGTCACATGGTAACGTGCTTAACTTCTACATGTTTAGTCACATGTTTAACTTTTTAAGAAAGCCCAGACAATCTCAGACGTCTTTGAGGCGAGCAAAAAAGGAAGAAGGAGAAGAGTGCGGTCCCTTCTGGAGTTGGCACCCCTTCCTCTGTCCTCCCTCTTCATCTGGCTCCACCCCTCTTCAGTGTCTCTCTTTTTGTCTCTGTCAGCCTGTATTTCTCAGCAAATCCAGTTTATTGAGGATGAGCTCATCTGAGTTTGGGTTTTTTCCCTTGTTTCCCCAGCAAGCCGTGTATCTTCTGTCAGATGACACAGCTAGGAAACGATCTGGTGTGGTCTTTGTTTCTTGCCTGAGGAGGAAAAAAAAAAAAAAAAGTTATTTCCTTTTTTTTTTTTTTTTTTAAGTTTATTTATTTGTTTAAGTCATCTCTGCCCCCAAAGTGGGGCTCGAACTCACGACCCCAAGATCAAGAGTGGCATGCTCTTCTGACCGAGCCAGCCAGGGGCCCCGAAAGTCATTTTCTGAAACCACTTTTTTAGTCAACGTGAGGGATTCTGTCTGGTCTGTGGTAGAACAAATGGCTGGTGTGAACCAGTAACTCGTGGGCTGTGAGGAAAGTCCAGTCAACATCCCGACAACAGGAGGGAGGCGGCTCTGGGTTTGAGCCCCGGCCCTGCTCTCGGTCTGACTGAGCAGTGCTTTCTGGGCTGTCCCTTGGCCTCCAGCCTCCCGGCAATGATGTTGGTCAACTGGACAGCCGGCAGCCTTGTAAATGCCCCAGGAAGAGTCAGAACAGATTTCCCTCCAGACAGCGGCTCTGCTTTCATCTGGAGGGGCTTTCCCACACGCGAGGAGGCCCCCCACCAGCCTCAGTCTTCTGAACTCCCAAACCAGAGGCGCTGCGTCCCCGGGTGAGACAGGACAGGCGCCGCGACAGAAATGCAGGGTCCCGCTCCCGCCCTGTCACTTAGCACTGGCATGAGCTCACGTGACTCACTTAGAAGCTTCAACTTCCCCACCTCCGAAGCGTGTGGGGTTTCAAATCCTCGTGGGGTCCAAATCCAATCCAGTAACCTAAAAGCTGCTCGGGCGGTACTTGCCATGTAGTAAGTGGGTTGGATTCCGACGCTGGTTGGATTCTGCCCTGTGACGTTCCCCCGCAGGAACTGGTAAGCCATCGTCTGGAGACCTGAGGGACGAGGGGAGAAGAAATGCCACCTGGGACATACCATCCGTTCCCTGTGTCCCCTTGAGTTCAGTTCAACAGCCTGGTTCTCCTGACCAACCACTGTGCTGGGCTGACGGGCGCCAAGGGGAGGAGACAGTCTAGGATAAGACGTGGACACAGATTCGAGGGGCAAGAGGAGGTTCCACAGAAAGCGTGAAGGTGCATCATCTGTCAA